CATGTAGACTGCCTAGCGAAAAGATCGCCGCTTCGACTTATGAGAGAGAGTTGTTTGCTCTGCGGGAAGCATTGAATCACTGGCGACACTATCTGCTAGGACGACACTTCAAGGTCTATCATGGTCATGAAACACTTCGCTGGTGAAAAACCAAGGCTCGGATGACACCTAAAATGACTATGTGGGCCGGGGAAATTGATAAGTTGAACTTCGAATTGAAGCTAGTAAAGGGGAAATACAATGTCGTCGCCGATGAGTTGAGTAGAATAGCTGACTTTTTCGGTGCTATTGTCACATATCTAGATGCAAGCGCCGAACTGAGGAGAAAATTGAGTCTGCCTATGTGAGTGATCCAGTCTGTAGCCAACTAATTGGCAAGGTGCAGACAACACCGCACGAAGTCCCGGACTATAGGTTGACGCAGGGACCATTGTTTGAGAAGACAAACGTCCATGATCAACAATGCGTCCCGAACAGCGAGGAAATTCGTAACATGATACTTGGGGAAAATCACGATACTGAGGTGCACTTTGGATGGAGGAAGACTTATGCTAACCTCCTACGCTCCTACGCGTGGCCGGGAATGAAGCATGACTGCATTTCCTACGTGCAAGGCTGTCAGGGATGTCAGAGGAACAAGGGTTCCACACAGCCTCCCCTTGGATTGCTCAAACCGCTGCCTATTCTGTCGGGACCCGGGGACTCCGTGTCTGTATAGACTTTATGGACACTATGATAAAAAGCAACAATGGCAAGAGTCAAGTTATGGTGGTGGTAGATCGGTTTCGCAACTTTGTAGTGTTCGTTCTGCGGAAGCAAGAACTGATTTAGTGATTAGGGAATTCTTTAATCACTGGGTGAAGGATTTTGGGCATCCCTTGACTATTGTAAGTGATAGGGATTCACGGTTGACAGGTGAACAATGGAAGCAACTGATGAAGGTATATGGTTCCAAATTGACCATGTCTTCAGGTAGACACCCTTCCTTGGTCTGACGAACTATTACCGCAAGTTCGTTCGGAACTTTACGGTAATTGTTGCCTCATTGCGCAGAATGTTGAAGAAAGAAACTATCTAGAATGGGATTAGAATTGTACTGCGTCCTTTAAGCATCTAAAAAAACATGTGATTAATTATCCGGTGTTGAAAGTCGTAGACCCATCTCTGGCCTTTATCGTAACCACTTACGCCAGTCAATACGGGATTGGTGTTGTACTCTAGCAAGACGATGGGAATGGGTACGAGCATGTGGAAGACGAAGGGAATGGGTACAAAGCTGTGGAATTGATGTTATGTAGACTGCCTAGAGAAAAGATCGCCGCTTCCACTTATGAGAGAGAGTTGTTTGCTCTGCGGGAAGCATTGAATCGCTGGCGACACTATCTGCTAGGACGCCACTCCAAGGTCTATTCTGGTCATGAAACACTTCGCTGGTTAAGAACCCAGGCTCGGATGACACCTGAACTGACTATGTGGGCCGGGGAAATTGATAAGTTGGACTTCGAATTGAAGCTAGTAAAGGGGAAATACAATGTCATCGCCGATGAGCTGAGTAGAAGAGCTAGCTTTTTCGGTGCTATTGTCACATATCTAGATGAAAGCGACGAACTGCAGGAGAAAATTAAGTCTGCCTATGTAAGTGATCCAGTCTGTAGCCAACTAATTGGCAAGGTGCAGACAACACCGCACGAAGTCCCGGACTACAGGTTGACGCAGGGACCGTTGTTTGAGAAGACAAACGTCCATGATCGACTATGCGTCCCGAACAGCGAGGAAATTCGTAGCATGATACTTGGGGAAAATCACAATACTGAGGTGCACTTCGGATTACTGAGGTGCACTTCGGATGGAGGAAGACTTATGCTAACCTCCTACACTCCTACACGTGGCCGGGAATGAAGCATGACTGCATTTCCTACGTGCAAGGCTGTCAGGGATGTCAGAGGAACAAGGGTTCCACACAGCCTCCCCTTGGATTGNGCCGGGAATGAAGCATGACTGCATTTCCTACGTGCAAGGCTGTCAGGGATGTCAGAGGAACAAGGGTTCCACACAGCCTCCCCTTGGATTGCTCAGACCGCTGCCTATTCTGTCGGGACCCGGGGACTCCGTGTCTCTAGACTTTATGGACACTATGAAAAAAAGAAGAAATGGCAAGAGTCAAGTTATGGTGGTGGTAGATCGGTTTAGCAACTTTGTTGTGTTCGCTCTGCAGAAGCAAGAACTGATTTAGTGATTAGGGAATTCTTTAATCACTGGGTGAAGGATTTTGGGCATCCCTTGACTATTGTAAGTGACAGGGATTCACGGTTCACAGGTGAACAATGGAAGCAACTGATGAAGGTATATGGTTCCAAATTGACCATGTCTTCAGGTAGACACCCTGAGACAAATAGACAGACCGAGCAGATGAACAAGCTGCCACGGCAAGTGCTGCGCATGTACATTTGGCCAGATCAGATTGACTGGGATGAACATTTCAGGGGTAAAATCACGTCTCATAATGAAAAGTTATATTGGAAAGTCACATCCCACAGGCAAAGGACACTTCACAGGCAGGAGTCATGTCCCATAGGCACGAGTCACAAACCACAGTCAAAAGCCATGTGCCACAATCAAAAAGTCGTGACTCAAAGGCCCAAGCAGCAGCACACCAATGAAAATTCGGGAAAGGTACCAGGACCAGACATTCGATAGCAAACAGGCCGTGGGGATGTGGTACCAGAACCAAGTCAAGCCCCAAGAAGCAGAGGCTGGCACGAGTTGAAGCTCGGTCCAAGACAATATAAGGACTGGCCAGACTCCTCATTCGGCAGGTTGCTCCTTCGCATGAAGTGTGGAAGTGCTGGTGCACTTGTGCACTATTGTGCGAGGCGGAGCGCTAAGCCAGGGAGCCACGCTGCTAGAGAGAGAGAGAGGGAGCAGCCAAAGCTGCCCAGCGCTGGCAGAGGGAAGGCAGCCATAGCTGCGCCAGTGCTAGTAGTCAGTAGTAGACCTCAGAGGGGTTAGTAGAGTCAACAGTGGGTGTATTCAGAGTTGGTCCTTGAGTGTGAGTGCATGCAAGTAGGGAGAGAAGACACAAGGAGGTAGTAGACAGAGAGAAGACCGAGAGAGGAGAGAGAAGAGCTTCGGGAGAGATACTTGCCTGAGTGGAGATACTGGATACCTGGGTTTGCGCTGTTGCGCGCCTGTGACTGAAACTCTTAATTGCTTGTATAATCATTTGTTGGGACTCTAAAGCTGCGCTTACGTGGGTTCGTTTCTCTGGCCTCCAGTGTGAACTTCGTGTGAACTCCTTCGTGCATGGTGTGATTGTGTGCACTCATTGGTGGTGAATTGAGAGGTTCACTCCAGAACTCTTACGAACTGCACCAGATTGAATCGCGGCATATGAATGTGGGTTGAAAGTGCAAGGAAGATGAGCATTAGCGAACTCCAGCAACCAAACAGCATCATACATATGTGTCCAGATAGTCTTGACCTCGAACCAACAGCAGTCATGC